AATTATGTATACATAATAAATAAATATTTAAAAAAAAAACAAAAAAACATTTATTTACTCTGTGTGCATGTCTCTGCATGTGTGTGTGCCATGGTATGAATGTAGAGGGCAAAGGACAACTTCTGGGAGTCAGTACTCCCTTATACCATGTGGGTTCCCATGATCCAGCTCAGGCTTGCTGGCCGCAAGCATTTGTACCAACTAAGCTTTCTCAGTCCCTGTTTTATTCTTTCTGTTTTTTTTTTAATTATTTTTTTTTTTTGAGACAGGATTTCTCTGTAGCTTTAGAGCTTGTCCTGGAACTAGCTCTTGTAGATTAGACTGGCCTTGAACTCATAGAGATCCGCCTGCCTCTGCCTCCCAAGTGCTGGAATTCAAGACTTGTGCTACTACCGCCTGTTTATTTATTTATTTATTCATTTTTCACGTACAAAAAGCACAGGTTCTCTTAAGCATTGAGTCGTCTATCTAACCACTCATTTTTTTTAAAGATTTATTTATTAATTATGTATACAAGGTTCTTCCTGCATATATCCCTGCAGGCCAGAAGAGGGCACCAGATCTCATTACAGGTGGTTGTGAGCCACCATGTGGTTGCTGGGAATTGAACTCAGGTCTTCTGGAAGAGAAGTCAGTGCTCTTAACCACTGAGCCATCTCTCCAGCCCTCTAGTCACTCATTTTATGGGGGTGGTTTTGTTTTGTTTTTATTTTTGCTTTTGTGGTTTTTGTTTGTTTTGTGTGTGTGTGTGTGTGTGTGTGTGTGTGTGGTTTTTGGAGACATGGTAGTTTTGGAACCTGTCCTGGAACTAGCTCTTTTAGACCAGGTTGACCTTGAACTCACAGAGATCTGCCGCCTCTGCATCCTGAGTGCTGAGATTAAATGCATGTGCCATCACATGCTGCTTTTGTGTTTTGAGACAGGATCTCGCTATGTAGCCCTAGCTGTCCTAGAACTCACTATATAGACCAGAATGGCCCCAAACTCTGCCTTGGAGTGTTGGGATTCAGGCAATCACTGCCTGCCACACCAGGCTATTTATGTATTTTTGATCTGTTTTCCTATTCTTCTCTTATTTCTCCTTTTTTCTTTCACTATGCATTCAACCTCAGCTCACCCCCACCTGGGCAGTACTGGAGCTGGAACCTGGAGCCTAACTCATCCTAGGGAGGTACCACTGAGCCTGGCAACTATTTATCTCTGTGTGCATTGCTGTAGCATGTATGTGCCTATACAAACAAACAGAAACAAAACAACTTAAGATATCCTAAAAGCCACATCCTCGGTCAGTCTAAAGGATGCTATGTGTTTTATTTACCTGATACAAATTTAATAAAGTGGCTAGAGAGAAGACTGAGTATTTTTTTAAAAGTCTTTTTTAACTTTATTTATTTACTTATTATGTATACAATATTCTGTCTGCAGACCAGAAGAGGGCACCAGACCTCATTACAGATGGTTGTGAGCCACCATGTGGTTGCCAGGAATTGAACTCAGGACCTTTGGAAGAACAGGCAATGCTCTTAACCGCTGAATCATCTCTCCAGCCCAAGACTGAGTATTTAAAGCACTTATTGCTCTAGAAGAGGGTGGGGTTCAGTTCCCTGCACCCACACGGTGGCTCACAAACATCCATAATGCCACTTGTAAGAGATCTGATGGTTCTTCTGGCCTCTGAGGGCTTCAGCATATATGTGGTACACATACAAACACTTAGGTGCACAAATGCACATAAGATAAATGCTAAAAAATATTTTCAGGCCGGTCGTTGGTGGCTCATGCCTTTAATCTCAGCACTTGGGAGGTAGAGACAGGTGGATTTCTGTGAGTGCAAGACAGCCTGGTCTATAGTCGAGTTCCAAGACAGCTAGGGCTGTTACACAGAGAAACACAGAGAAAACCTGTCTCGAAAAATCAATGTATAAACACACACACACATTTATTTTTTCTGCTCTTCCAGAGATCCTGAGTTCAATTCCCAGAAACCACATGGAGGCTCACAACCATCTGTAATGAGATCTGATGCCCTCTTCTGGGCACACAAAGTACACAGAGTACTAAAAGTAAATAAATACATACATAAATAAATAAAATTAATTTTAAAATATTTTCAATTATTTTTATTTTATATGTGTATGTGTGCTTTGACTTCATGTATGTTTGTGCGCCAACCATGTGCCTGGTGCCCATGGAGGGCACAAGAGGATGCCCTGTGCCTGGAGTTTGTGCATCAACGTGTGTGAGGTAGAGAGTGAGCCTGGAGGAGCAAGCAGCGCTCTTAGCCACCGGGCCAGTTCTAAAAGTTTTAAATTACATGTATTGCATTTTGTTTTATATTTATTTATTTATCATGTCTATATGAATGTGCACAAGAGCCAGATCTTGCATCTTTAGTGTGGTTTCCTACACCACCGTAGGTCCTGTGGATCAAACCCCGGCAGTCAGCCTTTCTCTGCCAAGCCATCCTGCCGTCCCCCACCCCCTTTTCTGAGACAAGGTCTCACTCTATAAACGTCCTCTGTGCTGCATCAATTCTGTTTCAGCCTCCTGGGCAGGTGGATTACAAATGCGGTCTCCCAGGGCTGGCCTGATTCTGGAATTTATGCAAACGAGACCCCACTGTTTACTCTTTGTGTCTCTTGTCTTCCATCCAACATTGTTTCTTTTTTTTTTTTTTAACTTTATTTAACTTTATTTCATGGGCATTGATATAATGATGTCCGATTCTCTGGAACTGGAGTTACAGACAGTTGCAAACTGCCATGTGGGTGCTGGGGATTGAACCTGGGTCCTCTTAACCACTGAGTCATCTCATCAGCCCCCTCCAACATTGTTTCTAAGCTTCATTCCTGTCTTTTGGCAAAAGCTTTCCTTGCAGGTTGGGTGCGCAATTCTGAATCCTAGCGCGCAAGCCTTTGCAAGCATTTGAGCATCTCTGTTGGAGGCAAGGCGGGAGCAGCTGTTAGGACTGTGTTCTATGTTCATCTCCAGCCTTTGTGACCCAGCCAGCACAGTTTCCCAGAGTGTTTCCACCAACCTTCCATTGGCTTAGAACTCCTTGCCTGCCCTCCAGCTGAGAACCTTCAGAATTATTGCTGTTTTTTTTTCCTGTGTGTGTGTGTGTGTGTATAAGAAAGCTTTCTGTAGCCCAGGCTGCCTCAAATTTGCGAAGCAGGTACTCAAGGATGACCTTGAACTCTTGTTCCTCTTGCCTCAGTCCCCAGTGCTGAGATTACTGACCTTGGCTACTACCTTTTTTGAAAGTATTTATTTTTATTTTATATGTATGGGTGTCCTGCTTGTATGAATGTCTGTGTACCACTTGTGTGTCTACTGCCCTAGGAGGCCAGAAAAGGCAGTCAGGTTCCCTAAAAGTGGAGTTAAGGACAGTTGTGGGTTCTGGGAAAGAAATCTGCCAACCCTGCAAAAGCAAGGAATGCTTTTAATCTCTGAGCCACCTTCAGCCCCTTCCCTTCCTCCTCTTCTTTTGAGACTGGAGCTCACTGTGTTCCCTTGGCTAGCCTGGAACTCAGAGATCCACCTGCCTGTGCCTTTGAGGGCTTGGGTTAAAGGTCTGTGCCATCATGCCTAGCTTGAACTATATTTTAAAGATTTATTTTGAGCCGGGGTTTGGTGGCACAGGAATTTAATCTCAGTACTCCAGAGGCAGGTAGATATCTTGAGTTCAAGGCCAGCCTGGTCTTCAGAGTAAACTCTAGGTCAGCCTATATCGTGAAACTGTGTCTCAGAAAAAAGAAAACACAAACTGTGTGATTGTGTGTGTGTGTGTGTGGTGTGTGCACAATCGATGTGTGATGGGGGAGTAATAGGACTACTGTGGGAATAGAATTCAGTTCCTCAGGCTTGACAGAAAGCACCTGGAACCACCGCTGTCCAGCTTCCTTGCTTCTTGTCTTAGTGTGCTTTTCAGTTGGTCGGCGCGTTACTGCTGAGCAACGCTCCACATTTGTTTGCTTGTTTCTTTTTTTATTTACTTTTTGCTTTTTTAGGATAGGATTTTTCTGTAACAGCCCTGGCTGTCCTGGAACTCACTCTGTAGACCAGATTGGCATCCAACTCAGAAACCTTCCTGCCTCTGTGTACTGAGTGTTGGGATAAAAGGCATGTGCCACCACGCCTGGCCATGTTTGTTTTTTATTACCTGGGTATGTGGCACCCAAGGTAGATGCTCTGGAATCATCCCTGCAGGAGCAAAGTGTAGCTGTGTGGTAGTGTGTGAGCTTGCTGGAGGCCTTGGACCTATCACCACACACACACACACACACACACACACAAATTTTTTTCTTGTAGTTTTTTGGGGATAGGGTTTTGCACTCTAGTTCAGGCTGGTCTGAAATCTGTGAACTTCCTCAACTTCTGAGTGCCAATATTACAGCCTAAAAGGCTGTGGTAGCGCACACCTTTAATCTCAGCACGCCGGAGGCAAAGGCAGGCGGGTTTCTAGTTTGAGGACAGACTGGTCTAAAAAAATGAGTTCAAGGACAGCCAGGGCTACATAGAGAAACTCTGTCCTGAAAAATCAAAAATCAAAACAAAAACAAAAAGACGACAGGCTGAGCCAGCGCATTTTACTTCTCTGATTCAATCCCTTTTGGGTGGATGGAATGGGTGCGCCAAATCTTTTCTCCCCTCCCCCGCCGCAATTTTTTATAATTCTCGCCCGGGAATCCCTTTTCTTCCAACATTCATCTGTCCCTCCAAGCGGCGATCTGCAGGCTCCGAAGGAGTCTAGCCAGACGCACGAGTAGGGGGGTGGGGAAGCGTGAAGAATGTTCCAGGCCGAGGTGAGGCTACAGAACGCATCTAAGTCTGCCGGAGACCAAACTGGGGGGTGAAGGGAAAGAGGAAGAACTCTGGATGGGGGCCGGGCGTGTAGCGCAGGGGCTCTGGGGGGCGGGCAGGGCCACTGGCTGCGGGCTTCCCAGTGCAACCCGGGGTTCAAAGGCGGCGGGGCGCTGCTCTCGCTGAAGCCGCCCCCTCCTCCAACGCCGGGAAGCCCCCGCCGAGAGCAACTCAAAGAAGTTTCTGCTGATTGGAGGGAGGGCGAGGAGGCTGGGAGAAGGGGCGTGGGGGTGTGTGTCCCACTGTCATGTAAATATCCCCCGCGGGCAGGGCGGCTGCGAGGCCGACTTAAATCTCCCGCACCTGAAACCGCCTCAGTTCCTGCGAGTTTCTTCCTGCTGTGTGCATCTGGCCTCTGGCCTCTGGCTTCTAGCCACTTCCCTCGTGCCATGGCCCCGAAACGGCAATCTGCGCTTCTGCCTCAGTCCAAGAAACCCAAATCGGCTCCTTCCCCGAAACTGGAGGACAAGTCGGCCTCTCCCGGCCTGCCGAAGGGAGGTAAGTTCCTCCATCGCGTTTCCTTGCTGATCGACTCTGTGATTGGCTTTTCTCTCTCCCGATCCTTCTGGCGATGGGACCCCCACAAACTCTCCCAAAAGGCTCTCAGCTCGGGGTGGCGGGAAATAAGGCCGGTGTGAGAGAAGGAGCGGAAAGCGCGGGACTGGGGAACCCGTGCACAGAGGACTTCCTCTGGCCCGCGACACCACGTGGGACCCAGCTTGCTCTTCCCAACCCCCAAACTCTCTCTTGTGGAGTTTCTGTGCGGGTAGATGCACCACCAACCATTCTGAGGCTTCTCCACCCCTCTAACTCCGAGGCTTTGAGGTTCAAGCCCTCTTAGGTTAGTCTCCCTGTTGCTGCAGCCGTCAGCCCACAACTCTGGCCTGAATAACTGCCACCTCGTGTGGCTCCCAGCTTCCTTCTCCCATCCTGCCCGAGCAAAGCTTGTCACGTGACTGGCTCCCAGACTTGTAAGACAGCCTCTCGGTTGTCCTCCAGGTACAAACTAAGACTTCCGGTACCGAGGACCCTGCCCACTTGGTCCCCACCCACTTCTCCAGATTCCCCACGTGGTGGTGGGCTTCCTCTAGCACTTAGAATGCTAACGACCGAAACGCTTGGGTGTGTGTTCTCTCATCCCCGGCCCTGGATACCGACTTGTCCTCTTCCGGGAAACCCGTGTCTCCCCACCCTGGGGTGGGGGAGTAGAGCGCTCTCCAGCTTCTTCCCCTTTGCCTAAGCTACTATCAGAAGCTACTCTTGGCCGCGTCCAGAGTCACCCCTCATTTTTTCATTCAGATCTTTTTGTGTTCGTCTTCCTCTGTTGACCGTGAGGGCTGCGTTTCTTAGACGCTACTCCGAGTCGTGGTGTGGTGGAGTTTTCCCGCGCGGTTTGGGTCTGGTATAGGGCGGGGAAGCCGAGGGAAAGTGTTTGGTTGAAGTTTCGTGCCACGGGTGAAAGGAACACTAGGCACCGAGTGAAGCAGACATCTCAATACTTCTGTGGTTCTGTTTCCCTTTGCTGTGGTTCAGTCCCTCCCCTTTCAAATGGCAGGCAGAGAACTGCCCTATGTCCCAGGAGTGATTAAAGACACGGGGGTCTCCATGAGCAGCCCTGCTTGGCCTGGCACTTAGCCTACCTCTGCCTCTGCCATGCAGAGATTAAAAGCAGCACCATACCTGGCGTTTTCCCTTTTGTTAAATTTCAAGTTGGCCTCATTTGTCAGTGAGAGTGACCTTGAACTTTCTGATGCAGAGGGATTGCTTACAGGCAAGCACCTTAATGCCCAGGTCCTGGTGGGTTATGGAACCCCAAACCTGCTGCATGGTCTTCCATTTAGTTTACTGGCAAGAAATAGCTAACCCGCAAGAGTTGGGAGGGTGCAGCCCCAGTCTTCTTGAGTGTGCTCAGTGGACAGTAGTGGCCTGCCAGGCACTGTACCCAGCGTCAGATCACAACAGCCCTTGAGTGCTTGGTGACTTCCTGATAACGTCTGTGCCAGGCCTCTCCCATATTTATCTCTCGCCGTTCTGCGTTGTTTTCCATTTCCTATTGAACTTGCATTCATCTTGAAGTCCAGTGCCTGAAAAGGCCCCTAGAGCCCCTTCTGTAGATTGGGTACTTCATTGATACCTGCTGTGTGGGGAATGGTACCAACCCGCAGGCTAGGCTTTGTGGTTAAACAGTTTTTCAATCCCAAGTTCTTCCTACGAGTGGCTCATTAAGTCTGTGTAATGAAGTATAGCTTGTAGTTAAAAAGAACTATTGGGCATGCCTTTAATCCCAGCATTCGGGAGGCAGAGGCAGGCAGATCTCCGTGAGTTCGAGGCCAAACTGGTCTACAAGAGCTAGTTCCAGAACAGGCTCCAAAGCTACAGAGAAACCCCGTCTCAACAACAACAACAACAAAAAGAACCGATTGGAGAGATGGCTCAGTACTTAGGAGCACTTTCGCCTGGCTGAAGGACTTGGATTTAGTTTCCCAGCACTCATATGGCAGCTCGGGGAGGAGCCAGCCCTTCCTTGCACCTGGAGCAACCTACACTTATATATACACACACAAAAAACACTCTTGCATGTAAAATAAAAAGTTTTCAATGTTTTTATGATACAAAGGGAAAGAAACTTACCCATCGTTCTTAGTAGGCTTGTATTTTGTGTGTGTGTGTGTGTGCGCCAAGTTTTGATGTCAGTTGTGTCTCTTAGGCCACATTTAAAACATTGAAGGTTTGGGGTGGGAAGAACTCAGAGGCAAGACTGTGCTGGCCTACATAGCTAGTTCCAGTCCCCATCAAAGAAAAATTTTGATCCCGTTTCTTGTAAACTTCAGTTAGGGGTGAGGCTTTGTGGATGGGAGACAGGCGAAAGCTCAGCAGGCACCGGGCCTGGGGTTCCAGTCCCATTACCTCAGTTTATTTTTGTCTGTAAAATGTACTTTGTATCTGTTCTATCTGAGTTCAGTTTGAGGCTGGGGCGGGGTTGGGTGATAGAGCGGCTGGCCTAGTAGGCACCAGGCCCTGGGTTTAACTCCCAGCACTCAATATCTATAAAACCTACATTATGTTGAGTGAGGGTTGCATGAAAATATAGCTAACTAATCCCAGCCATGACCCATAGAAATGCCCTAGTGAGGTGGCCGTCAACAGTTTTTCCTTTTGAGACGCTGTTGCACACTATCCCAGGCTGACCCTAGGTCCTTCTGCCTTGGTCTCTTAAGTCCTACTTGCCTGGTTTTGTTTGTGGAATTTTTCCCCTAGTCAGGGCTTTTCTGCAACAAACCCTGGCTGTTCTGGGACTTGCTCTGTATGTAGATAAGGCTGGCCCCGAACTCAAAAATCCGCCTGCTGAGGTCCCTTTGCTTGGGAGCTGTGGGAGTCTTTAGTGGAGTTCCTTAGTGGATGTTGACAGGTTTTTGGTTGGTTTGTTTTTTTTTGAGACACGGTTTCTCTGTGTAACCCTGGCTGTCCTGGAACCAGCGCTGTAGACCAGGCTGGCCTCGAACTCACAGAGGTCCACCAGCCTCTGTCTTTCCAGTGCTTGGATTAAAGGCATGCACCACCACCGCCAAGCTTCCTTAGTGGCTGTTGACAGGCTTAAGTTTACAATAGATGAATGGAATTCATTGAGCATAAGGTGAGCCAGAAGGCTTAGAAGAGTCTCCTCGAGTTTGTGAAGACTGTATATTGTGTATTTTTTTTTTACATTTATTGATCACTCGCCATGAATGTCTTGACTATTTGAGCCACATTGCTTTATCTTTAAGAGCCGCTAATAAGATTGGAATGCTAGAAGGTGGGTGAATAACCCGAGTTGAAGAGCACCCCGGTAGAAAGAGGGCTTTTCCAAAACCACGTGTTGAAGTACAGGTAGACAGAAGAGAGCTGCTGTCTTTTCAAGATCTGGAAAATGGTTTAAGCAGAAAAGCCTCCTCCTGACATAGTACTTAAGGGCTTTTTAATCTAAAGCTATTTTTTGCTGTTTTACCCTTTAAGAACCTATGAACATTTCTCCATTTGTCGCCTCAAACTCCGCTGAGATGGGCACTGGGTGCTAAGGAGCCAAAGGACCTGTGGCAGAATGCCGCTTCCTACATTCAGAGGACTCAAACTCCAGTGTGAACCTTTTAGAGTACGACCTGTGACAGCTTTTAAAATTTGAAAGCCGAGTGCAGAGACCCTTGACTTGGTTCAAGGGTACATCGGGGCACTGGGAGTAGACTGGATAGATGAGAGTTTGAGTTAGGTCCGCAGCTTCTCCATCTAGAAAAAAGGATGGAGGTGTCTCTTTCTCCCACTAAGAGGAAGGTCGGACCGTGCACGGGGTGTGCAGGACTCAGGCCGGTGTGTGTAGTTTGTGAATTCCCTAGGCCTGCACTTCCGAGGGGCTGCGCGCGCCCCCTCTCCGGCGCCCCCCGGCCGCCCGGCATAGGGAAGCCGCTCAGCCACCACGTGATGCGCGAATATTGGGGAGAGAAGGCCCCGCCCCTCAAGTCACCGCGCGCCCGCCGTCGCGCGCAAACGTCCCGGGTCGGCAGGAGAAGGGGAAAGCGGGGGAGGGGAGCGCCGCGCGGGGGACGGACCATGCGTCGCGGAGCCGCTTCCTCCCGCCTCTCGTCCAGGCCCCAGTGTCCCCACCACCGCCACCACCACCCGCCTCGGCCCCGCCCCCTGGCCCGCGGCCCC